ACAGATGACAGAACTGGTGTGTGGCAGGTACTGGCTTGTTCAGTAGACTCTCCTCTACAGTTCCATTTTGGCAGGAAGCCTAACCATTGAACAGGTGTGTTGTTAAAGTGAAAAGCAATGCCTCCACCTTTGCAACTCCTCAACGGATGGCAGTACTGGTATGCGGCAGGTACTGGCTTGTTCAGTAGACTCTCCTCTACAGTTCCATTTTGGCAAGAAGCCTAACCATTGAACAGGTGTGTTGTTAAAGTGAAAAGCAATGCCTCCACCTTCGTAACTCCTCAACGGATGGCAGTATTGGTATGCGGCAGGTACTGGCTTGTTCAGTAGACTCTCCTCTACAGTTCCATTTTGGCGGGAAGCCTTAGCATTGAACAGTTGTGTTATTAAAGTGAAAAGTAAAGCCTCCACCTTGGTAACTCCTCAACAGATGACAGAACTGGTGTGTGGCAGGTACTGGCTTGTTCAGTAGACTCTCCTCTACAGTTCCATTTTGGCAGGAAGCCTAACCATTGAACAGGTGTGTTGTTAAAGTGAAAAGCAATGCCTCCACCTTTGCAACTCCTCAACGGATGGCAGTACTGGTATGCGGCAGGTACTGGCTTGTTCAGTAGACTCTCCTCTACAGTTCCATTTTGGCAAGAAGCCTAACCATTGAACAGGTGTGTTGTTAAAGTGAAAAGCAATGCCTCCACCTTCGTAACTCCTCAACGGATGGCAGTATTGGTATGCGGCAGGTACTGGCTTGTTCAGTAGACTCTCCTCTACAGTTCCATTTTGGCAAGAAGCCTAACCATTGAACAGGTGTGTTGTTAAAGTGAAAAGCAATGCCTCCACCTTCGTAACTCCTCAACGGATGGCAGTATTGGTATGCGGCAGGTACTGGCTTGTTCAGTAGACTCTCCTCTACAGTTCCATTTTGGCGGGAAGCCTTAGCATTGAACAGTTGTGTTATTAAAGTGAAAAGTAAAGCCTCCACCTTGGTAACTCCTCAACAGATGACAGAACTGGTGTGTGGCAGGTACTGGCTTGTTCAGTAGACTCTCCTCTACAGTTCCATTTTGGCAGGAAGCCTAACCATTGAACAGGTGTGTTGTTAAAGTGAAAAGCAATGCCTCCACCTTTGCAACTCCTCAACGGATGGCAGTACTGGTATGCGGCAGGTACTGGCTTGTTCAGTAGACTCTCCTCTACAGTTCCACTTTGTCGGGAAGCCTTAGCATTGAACGGTTGTGTTGTTAAAGTGAAAAGCAATGCCTCCACCTTCATAACTGCTCAACAGATGGCAGTACTTGGTATGCGGCAGGTACTGGCTTGTTCAGTAGACTCTCCTCTACAGTTCCATTTTGGCAGGAAGCCTAACCATTGAACAGGTGTGTTGTTAAAGTGAAAAGTAATGCCTCCACCTTCGTAACTCCTCAACGGATGGCAGTACTGGTATGCGGCAGGTACTGGCTTGTTCAGTAGACTCTCCTCTACAGTTCCATTTGTGTGGGAAGCCTTAGCATTGAACAGGTGTGTTGTTAAAGTGAAAAGCAATGCCTCCACCTTTGCAACTCCTCAACGGATGGCAGTACTGGTATGCGGCAGGTACTGGCTTGTTCAGTAGACTCTCCTCTACAGTTCCATTTTGGCAAGAAGCCTAACCATTGAACAGGTGTGTTGTTAAAGTGAAAAGCAATGCCTCCACCTTCGTAACTCCTCAACGGATGGCAGTATTGGTATGCGGCAGGTACTGGCTTGTTCAGTAGACTCTCCTCTACAGTTCCACTTTGTCGGGAAGCCTTAGCATTGAACGGTTGTGTTGTTAAAGTGAAAAGCAATGCCTCCACCTTCGTAACTCCTCAACGGATGGCAGTATTGGTATGCGGCAGGTACTGGCTTGTTCAGTAGACTCTCCTCTACAGTTCCATTTTGGCAAGAAGCCTAACCATTGAACAGGTGTGTTGTTAAAGTGAAAAGCAATGCCTCCACCTTCGTAACTCCTCAACGGATGGCAGTATTGGTATGCGGCAGGTACTGGCTTGTTCAGTAGACTCTCCTCTACAGTTCCACTTTGTCGGGAAGCCTTAGCATTGAACGGTTGTGTTGTTAAAGTGAAAAGCAATGCCTCCACCTTCGTAACTCCTCAACGGATGGCAGTATTGGTATGCGGCAGGTACTGGCTTGTTCAGTAGACTCTCCTCTACAGTTCCATTTTGGCAAGAAGCCTAACCATTGAACAGGTGTGTTGTTAAAGTGAAAAGCAATGCCTCCACCTTCGTAACTCCTCAACGGATGGCAGTATTGGTATGCGGCAGGTACTGGCTTGTTCAGTAGACTCTCCTCTACAGTTCCACTTTGTCGGGAAGCCTTAGCATTGAACGGTTGTGTTGTTAAAGTGAAAAGCAATGCCTCCACCTTCGTAACTCCTCAACGGATGGCAGTACTGGTATGCGGCAGGTACTGGCTTGTTCAGTAGACTCTCCTCTACAGTTCCATTTTGGCAAGAAGCCTAACCATTGAACAGGTGTGTTGTTAAAGTGAAAAGCAATGCCTCCACCTTCGTAACTCCTCAACGGATGGCAGTACTGGTATGCGGCAGGTACTGGCTTGTTCAGTAGACTCTCCTCTACAGTTCCATTTTGGCGGAAGCCTTAGCATTGAACGGTTGTGTTGTTAAAGTGAAAAGTAATGCCTCCACCTTTGTAACTCCTCAACAGATGGCAGTACTGGTATGTGGCAGGTACTGGCTTGTTCAGTAGACTCTCCTCTACAGTTCCATTTTGGCAGGAAGACTTAGCAGAAAAAGTAATGCCTCCACCTTTGTAACTCCTCAACAGATGGCAGTACTGGTATGCAGCAGGTACTGGCTTGTTCGGTAGACTCTCTTCTACAGTTCCATTTTGGCAGGAAGCCTTACAAGAAAAAGTAATGCCTCCACCTTCGTAACTCCTCAACAGATGGCAGTACCGGTACATGGCAGGTACTGGCTTTTTCAGTAGACTCTCCTCTACAGTTCCATTTTGTAGGTGAACTATAAATCCCAGCAACTACAATTCTCAAATGACAAAATCAATCTCACCCAATCCCACCAGTGTATCGGGTATATGTACCAAATTGGGTCCTGTGAATGAAAATACAGCCTGCATATCAGATATTTACGTTACGATTCATACGATTTACACAAATGACCAGCCACTGCCAGAAGGGACATTGAGTTTCATCTATGCTGATGATCGTGCCATCACCACCCAAGCAAGGAGATTTCAAATGGTTGAAGAGCAGCTCTTCGCAGCTTTAGGTGTTCTTACTGCCTATTACAGGGAAAACCAGGTTGCTCCATCCATGTTTAACATTTACACAAATGAACAGCCACTGCCCGAAGGGACAGAGAGTTTCATCTATGCTGATGATCGTGCCATCACCACCCAAGCAGGGAGCTTTGAAATTGTTGAACAGAAGCTTTCAGAAGCTTTAGATGTTCTTATGGCCTATTACAGGGGAAACCAGGTTGCTCCATCAATGTTTAACATTGACACAAATGACCAGCCACTGCCAGAAGGGACATAGAGTTTCATCTATGCTGACGATCATGCCACCACCGCTCAAGCAGGAAGCTTTGGCATGGTTGAACAGAAGCTCTCCAAAGCTTTAGATGTTCTTACTGTCTTCATCACCGCCTCCTCCTGAGAAAAATGTATAATATCACAAAGGATGACCACCTCACCCGCCCCATAAGAAACCTGCTACAAAACAGGAGCTTTTTTGTTGAGTTCCAGAGCCAGAGAAGCAGATGGCGGAAACAGAAGAACGGCCTGCCTCAGGGGAGCGTGCTTGCTCCATCCATGTTCAACATCAAATGACCAGCCACTGTCAGAAGGGACAGAGAGCTTCATCTATGCTGACGATTGTGCCATCACAGCTCAAGCAAGGAGCTTTGGAATGGTTGAAGAGAAGCTCTCATAAGCTTTAGGTACTCTTCATGACAAAATCAATCTCTCCACCTGCAACCCACCAGTATTCAAATGTGGGAGTATTGGGTATTTGTGCCAAATTTGGTCCAGTGAATGAAAATACAGCCTGCGTATCAGATATTTACATTACGATTCATAACAGTAGCAAAATTAGAGCCAGTCATAAATGCCGTCATTTTATTTGTTTGTTTGTTTACTCGACACACAGCCATTTGTACCAAAGCAACAAAGCCAGATGGAAACAGGCAGCGGAAGCTAATGGCCAATCAGAGCCACGAAATTAATACCAGCCGACCATTCCATTTGTCAACAAAATGAAACACAACATTGCGACAAGGGCCCCCGTTGCAGGCTTAGTTGTTAATGTTATTTGGCACTGCCGTCAGAAAACAGATGGTTTAGTTTGGGATATTTCTCCTCCGTTCCCATGTCTTTGTTTTGCTGGTGGTTTCCCTCCCGCTTAGAAATGATGTGCTGTTCCAAATTCCAAAGCCTTTGGTCTCGGAAGCAGGCGGCTTTGTCCAAGGAGACATCCTCGAATGGCATCCAAGTTTAGCTCGGGATGAGGTGCACCGAAAGACCGTATTCTCCCAGGACACACCTGTTTATCTATGGCCCTCATCATGTCTCCTCTCAGCCTGGGGCCTTTCTCCCACTGAGGGCTCTCTCAGACTGGAGCCTTTCTCCCACTGAGGGCTCTCTCAGACTGGGGCCTTTCTCCCACTGAGGGCTCTCTCAGACTGGTGCCTTTTTCCCACTCTCGGACTGGGGCCTTTCTGTTGGGATAAAGGTCTTCTCAATGGCTGTTTGTCCTTCTCCCAAAAGCGTAAACAATGCACAACTTGGGGACAATGGAGCGGCGCATGAGGTTGGGGACATGCAGCACATTTGGAGGAAGGAACACGATGCGTGGATGCCACCATACTCCTAGCACAAAGCAGTAAAGACGGCCACAATATTGAAGAATAGGTTGTTGTAGGTTTTTCGGGCTATACGGACATTCTATAAGGGACATTCTATAAGCACTGTTTCGCCTGTATCTATGACAAGCATCCTCAGATGTGGGCGAAACGTCAGGAGAGAAAGCTTCTTGAGTATGGCCATAGTAAAGGTAAAGGTTTCCCCTTGACATTAAGTAAATAAATAAATAAATTCCCCCAGGCAGGAAGCAGCCAGGCATTGCCACTGCAAGGCTATTAAATGCTAATCAAGGTGATCAATTGCAACATTCAAACAGACAAGTATTCTTTCTCCCACCCTGGACATTATTCCACAGATATATAAACTCAATTTTCCTAGTTTCCAACAGACCTCACAACCTCTGAGGATGTTTGCCATAGATGTAGGTGAAACGTCAGGAGAGAATGCTTCTAGAACATAGCCCGAAAAACCTACAACAACCCAGTAATTCTGGCCATGAAAGCCTTCAACAGTACAATGAAAACAATGTTATGGTTGGAGGTCACCACAACATGAGGAACTGTATTAAGGAGTCACAGCATTAGGAAGGTTGAGGAACACTGGTCTAGATCCATTTCAGCTTGGTTTTGGACTCGGTTCTGGGAAAGGGACAGGGAAACGGGTCCTTGTTACTCTATTCTAGACTTCTCCATGAATGTTTCCTCAAATGTCTTGCATTGCAGTCATCTGTGGCGAGCAGATGGTGAGTGGTGGACATGGCCTATGTTCTCAATCTCAAAAACTAGAGCAGATAGGGGAAATCTGGTGACATTTTTGGAATCGGCACGTCAAATATACCCCAAAACAGGTCTAACGTTTGAGGTGTCAAAACATGTGTCGCTAGGCATGTGGAGACTGAAGGCATCTTTCAATTTGGTGCCTCTTGATAGCTCTGCTCGCCAGTTCAATCGAAGGATGCCACAAAGGATACTGTTTGTGGATTCATGAATATGGTTGGAAAAAGTGCCACGTACAGGAAATGTAGTTTGCCAATACATCCACGGATGGCCAAAAGGAAGGGGCAATTCCAGGATCCATCTGGAGAAGATGGGATCCCAATCGTTTGTTTACACTGGGGAGTTAGACCCAGGCCTTGACCTGGCTGTTCCATCTTCCACCCTCTTCGCGCCAGGGCCACTTCACCCCCTTGTAGGTTGCCCGGGCGCACGGCTGGAAGCACATGAAGAGGCGGAGGCGCCGCGCCAGCCGGCAGTAGGTCACCATGGCCAGCACCATGAGCGGAGACATGATGACGAAGCCGAGGATGATCAAGGCGGAAGAGCTGCTGTCGTCCAGGAGCGTCTTGCAATAGGAGGCCGAAGAGTGGAGCACCTGAGCGAGGAGACAGAAAACAAGGTGGCCATTAGATCTAGTATCTATCTATCTATCTATCTATCTATCTATCTATCTAATTAAAGAGAATGTATGTATGTATGTATGTATACGGAGGGCGGACGTGTATCTGGCAGCTTTCTGATTGGTTGCCACTGTGGTATTATTTGCATATGGTCTCTGTTTGGCCAGCCTCAACATTCCAACATTCTGAGGTGACAGAGAGAGGAGAGGTAAAGGCCTGATGCTGTGGCAG